CAATTCTGTGCTGAAGCGGATGGAGCTGAAGTTTTGGCTCAGCTTTGCACCCAACATGGGAACCAATGCAGTAGAAGAATCCCAAAGGTGTAAGCATTCTTTTTGGAAGCAGAAAGATCTCAGTTTTTTGTTTTGTTATATATTTTTTTTGTTGTCGTCGTTTTTGTTTTTTCAATGTGGGAAAGATATTATCATTTAGGAAGCAGTATAGGTCGGGTAAAATTTTTCTCCAATTCTAGTAGTGTGGAATTAAGGAAAGAGAATAAGGCAAAGAGGAGTGTGTTCCTGCTCTTAGCACTACTGAAGTGTCCCTCGGGTAAGCTAACAAGACGAGATCAACTGTGCCTAAGCTGTGGTGTGTCACTAGAGCAACCTGTGGAAAAATAAGAATGAATCACAAGTTTTTGCTAATCACAGAATGAGAGCATACATTGGAAAAATTAATATTAGTCAATTATCCTATTCTTTTTTGCTAATCTAAATAACTAAATCTCGCCCAGGTACCCTTTGAGAAGCTGACGAAAGCAGTAGTCCTTCTTTCTAGGCAAATGTAAATAGTAAAGTAAATATTTTAGGCTTTACAAACCACATGGTCTCCATCGCAACTATTCACATCTGCCATCTTAGTGTGGGAGCATCCGTAGACAATAAGAGTGGGTGTGGTGGTATTCTAATAAAACTTTACGTTCAAAAATAGGCAGTAGGTCATATTTGACCTGCAGGCTATAGTTTGTTGACCCCTGGTTTAGAACTTTGATAGCTGTGCTAGCTTGGAATATTAATTGGCAAATACTCACCTCATCCTCCTCTTTGGGTGGAATGTACATCCCAGCTCCATTGCATTTGAACTTGGCCTTGAGATACTGGCCAATAAATGTGAGCAGACATGATGCATAGAGATATTTTAAATGTGTTTACATATCTAGCTTGTCTGATGTACTCGTGCCATTTGCCATGAAAAGAACATGTCCCAGGTAGCCCTGGTCTAAGGAGGAAGACAGGCAGAGAGAGCAGACCTAGACCCAACACACAGTTTGAAGCCAAGCTCTGCTACCCACAGCCTGAAGCACAGTTGCCCAGCTGAGCCTAGACTAGATCAGCTGAACTTGAGGCAACCTGCATACCTGTGAGCTTGAGAATAAATGTAGGTTGTTTTAAACCATTGAGTTTTGGGGTAGTTTGCTAATGCAGCATAAAAGTAGAAATGGCTGGCTAATATTATAGTACAGAGAAGGATAGTTATCCATCTAGATAAAACAATTAAGACATGAATCTCACTTACAAAAACCAAAACAACAAAAGGAGATTCTTATCTCCTTACACAAATCCTGGAAAAAGATAAGGGAATGTTTTTCTTTATTTTATAATTCTCCACCCTACTCCTCCCCACCCACGCTGCTTCTGTGGTTGGAATAAACCCTGAATTGTAGATTTAGGTTCCTGTGTATACAGCTAATCAATACTTAACACCCTCTTTAAAGAGGCGTTGCTTTCCTTAAGCCAAGCCCAGAGAGGATCTCAGTACCAAGAACTGAATATTTAATACTGCTGAAATTATATCTGAGAAAATATCCAAGCCCTTCCTCAGAAATGAACAGTTGTGGTCTCCTCAGTTCAGCAGAGAATTTTGAGAGCCTGCTCTGTGCTTGTCTCTGCTAGATGCTGGATAGAATATATTCAATCGATATTTGTTTTGTTCCAGCTATGTGTCGTGCACTGTGGTAGTCTCTGGGGACACAGGGGTGTGTAAATCAAATTCAGGGCCTTCAAGGAACACCAGCTAGCAGGAGAGACAGGCAAGTAAGTGGATAATTAAGGTGCAGTGTGGTAAGCAGTAGCACGAGTGGCATATCCACAGTCCCCAGGGAGCTTGGAGGAGATGCACTTGACCCTGCCTGGAGATTGGAATGTGGGGAGCATTTCAGGGAAGTCTTCCTGAAGAAATTGACGCTTGAACTGAGTCTTTCTGAGGGACATGGTTAGGATGAAGTCCTGTAATTGTAGAGTAGAAGGGAGCTTTAGGAAGTATCCTTCTCTTTACACATGAAAAGGAAGCTGTCTCTCCTTTTTAAGATTTCCCTCTGTCCCAGAGAGAGATCAATCTGATTAGAGTCAGGCCGCTCAGAGCAATCTGTGCTTTGGGTAACTTGATTATTGAAGCTATTGCAAGTATCCGTAAATTCTAGCTAATTAGCAGTTATATGCACACATCAGAAAAATAATGTAATGATTCTCATTTCCCAAGGCAGGTGTATATCTCATTTTATGATGCCAGTTTTTATTTTGAACTAGCCTCGGATTTGTGGGGTTGGTATTTTGCTTTGTCATCCTTTTTTATTTATGAGGAGTGGGTTCAGGGAGGAGGAGCAAATGAGACTAAGAAAATGATCAAATTACCTTGGAAATGATTTCTTCCTAAAAACAGCCTTCAGTTTAAATTGTAAATTTGCTGAATTGTCTGTACAGTTTAATGGATTTAAGAATTTCAATTAATTTTTAAATATAGTTGCTAATAGATTATTAGACTGACTTAAAAATTATCTAGATTGCTTTTTCTTTGTGTAGACTGTGTTGTTGCAGAAATTTGTTTGTATTCATCCAGGTTCAGTTTTAGAGAACATCTCAGCTATCTTTTTGAACTTCAAAATGTGTGTTTCATCACAGAAAACATATTATTTACGTTCATTTTTACTTATTGTTCCAGAATGAGTTCTACTTAGAAGTCTGGCAGATAAATTTAGTACTTTGCAAGCTTTACGAGTGACTGTCCTGGGGAATATGCCATTGGTATTCCTTCCACTACGATGGTATTGATCTCATTGAGACAGAAATCATATAGAAATACTTTCAAGTTTTGTAACTTTATATTTTCTTTTACAAAGCATGGAAGTGGACTCCTATTGTAGCTTTTCAAAATGCTTTTTTTGCTGATTGATGACTCTGCGAAAGCAAATTGAGTGATTGAGATGTTACCTAATGTTGCCCAGATCAGCTGAAAAAGGGAAGAGCCTCATAAAGGCCTGGGACATCTGTCCAGGACCCTAACAAAGTTGCATTTGAATTTAAACCCTCCCATTGTAAATATGTGTGCAAAATAAGAAATTTGAAAAATATGCAAAAGGTAAAAAGAGGGGAAAAATATAAGCTCATCACCCAGAGATAAGCAATATTAGTATTTGATATATTTCATAAGTACATTCTTTGAAAAATTTGGTTTTGATTTATTTTACAGAACTGTGAACATAATGCGTGTATATTCCATATACTGTTCCTGTTTTAATCTAGTTATTATACCACAAGCATTTTTCCAAGTTATTATAAATGCTTCATAAGCATTTGTTTTAATGACTGTACTGTGACTATACCAGGATGTATCTAATTATTCCCCTATTGTTAGATATTTAGGTTGTTTTCTAATTGGGGTTATCATAGATATATTATAATAAAGTCTTTTTTAATAGAGATTTTTATTAAAGGTAACACATACACAGTTCATGTGTGCATACATGAACATAAGTGTACAACATTTTCAGTTTTTCACAAGGCAATCCACCACTGAAACTACTACCTGTGTCAATAAATTATCGCTAAGTTAAGTATAGTCATGTTACCACTACTCAGGCCAAGAACAGAACTTGCCCAAGCTGTTCTCTCCCTCCTCCTGGAAGGTAATCACTACCCTGACCTCTAATGACATGGATCAATTTTTGCCTTGAAGCTCTACAATTAATTTCCTTTAGATTTTCAGAAGTAGAGTTACTAGATCAAGAAGTACAAATATTTTAAAGTATCTTAGTTCTTATAACCAAATTGCTTCTGAAAACATCACGTCATTTCATCACCACGTTGTTTGAAAATGTGGAAAGGACTTTTCTTCCTGAGTGTGGGAAGAGAAAGAAGTGAGAGTCAAATGTAAAGAGACAGTTCTGGACCGTGAATAGGACCACATGGAACCATATTACTTTAGGGAAATTCTAGCAATGTTTTGAAATTCTATTTTATCCACCTTGAAAATGCTCTTCTTTATCTGGACACTGCCAGTCATTGTGACAGAAAGAAAGAAGAGCATGGTGAACCAGGCACTGGCTCTTAAGATCTGGACACAACTGACACACAAACTTCTGCCCACGTTATGTTGGCCAAAGAAAGGCGCATGAATTCAGTAGAGCCAGGGGTATATAATCCTCCCATAGAGAGAGGTACTGTAGGAAAGGAAACTGGACTATTTGACAAACAATAACATCATCCACCATACTTTCTATTTAATGACTTGGCCTCGTCCCTGAGATCAGATCATTTAGATTACTAATCTTTTACTTTTATTATAGAAGCACATCCTAGCCTTGGGCAGGGTGGCGGTGGGATTTACATCTCCATGTAGGGCTGTAACTTCTATAATTATCAGTGGGTTGTTTGCATAAAGCTGAACTTTTGGGCGTGTGCTTTTTTCCCAAGAAGAGGCCCAGAAACATGCTTTTTAATTAAGAGGTGATGGGTAAATGCTAAATTCAGTTTATTAGATACTTTTGGTGGAAAGAAATTCCTCTTTAGGAAGCAAGTTTTTTATAGCTAGTCGACATGTTCTGGTTACATGCTTTCTGGGCAACTGTTCAGTAATGTTTTCCTAGTCCATTGATAATGACACTTACAGAATTGCAGAGGTTTTCTCCCTGGCACAGCAAGGGAACTGGCTTGGCTTGTTCACTGAGACGCTTGCTCCAGGTTATCAGGCGCACTTTTTGTTGTGGTTACCATCTTGTCTTCACCGTTTACTACTGCAAATTTGCATTCTTCCTTATTACCATTCTTTTCCAAAACAGCTATTTTGTAGTGTTGATCAGTAACATCAAAAATTGCTTCTCATTTCACTTTCTCTTTATGTCTTCATTTAAGACACACTGATGCTCAGTTAGAGGTATAGTTGCATGGTGGTGGGGGTATCTTGGTGGTAGTAGGTGAGCTCTGATTTAACATGGTGTCTCTCTTTTTATTCCCCCAAGATCTCTTCTCTCAAGGGATGGTGAAGTTGGAAAAAGGCTCCTTTAATCCTCCTCCAGGATGAACCCCCTGCCACAAGACATGGAGAATGCTCTCACAGGGAGCCAGAGCTCTCACACTTCTTTGCGCAACGTCCATACCATCAACCCTACACAACTCATGGCCAGAATTGAGGCCTATGAAGGAAGAGAAAAGAAAGGCATATCTGATGTCAGGAGGACTTTCTGTCTGTTTGTCACCTTTGACCTCTTATTTGTAACATTACTGTGGATAATAGAGTTAAATGTAAGTGTTTTTTCCTGTGACTTTATAAGAATTGTTTCCAGAGACAAAAAACAATTTTCTTATTTTTCTCATCATTTCTGTCTCGTTTAGTAGATTCCATCTTTTCCCTAATGAGGCAACATTGCACTTCTCCAGCTAATTTGGACTTTTCTTATTCTTTACTGTTACTGTTTAAAACAAACCTGGTTAATTTAAAACTCACTTTGTCTGGGATTTTGAAATTTGATTTCATGGTGTTTTGCTCTGTATCAGGTGTTGGTGAACTACAGTCTGGGGGCCAAATTCAGCTGGCCTGTTTTTATAAATAAAGTTTTATTGGAACACAGCCCTGCCCACCCGTTTATATATTGTCTATGGCTGGCTGTTGTCCTGAGTAGTTGAGTCGTTATGACAGAGTCCATCTGGCCCACAAAGGCAAAAATATTTATTCCCTGGCCCTCTTTAGAAAACAGTTGCTGATCTTTCCTTCAAAAAATGTAACAGGTTTTTGAAATACGTTTTAGATGTTGCATCTACTTTTCTAATTCCCATGTGTAAAATTTTGCATGCATTTATTGTTTACTTTTTTGCAAAGATATTATTTATTCATATTTTATCCAAAAAAATGTACTGGAAGCATTTGGAGGTTTGTCTATATTTTTTCAGGTTTATGCAGTTATATTGGCAAGTAATTGTCTAGACCAGTACTGTCCAATAGTATAGTGCAAGCCTCATGTGACATTTGAAGTTCTGCAGTTGCTACATTTATTTTTTTATTTTTACTTTTGTTAATAAATTAATAAATTAAATTTATTAATAAAAGTAAAAATAAATGAAATTCATTTTAATAATATATTTTATTTAACCCAATATATATGTTTTCTCCTAAAGCCTTGGCTCTCTTTATATACCTTACCAGCAAATAGGTGAACTCTTCCAGAGTGCTTTCCTCACATGCAGAATTTGTCTGCTTCCTTCATTTTCAGCAGTTCATTTATTTCTAAGAAATATTTGCTAAGGCCTCGGTGGTAATAGTTATTAGCTACTGTTTATTATTAAAAGGTAACTGCTAGACACAGTACTAGGTGCTTTATAAGAAATTTATTAAAATAGAGAAAATATGAAAAGATGCTGTGATTTCTGTTTGAAAATGATTTTTAATTTTGCCTTTTAACAGAAAGAGTCAACATCTTAATCTAAACTCTAGTTAGTATTCTAATTTGTAGCAGCAATTTTAGTTCTGCATTCTAGACTCTTAATGATTAGTGTCTTTGGACTCATTTAATTTCATCATGAATCTTAATAGAGGAATAAAACTCTTTATGAAAGCAGATAGTTATATTAGAAAATAAGATTTGTCCCAGAATCATAGTAATATGCAGCATGAATCTACTATTAAGGTTCTGTTTACAGATTTTCCTTCTGTTAATGTAGCACTGTGGGTATGTCTTATTTTTGAGTAAAACGAAACAAGCTGGTGATATTACACAGTAATTTAGAGTGTCTGTTTTTACTATTTGTTCCATATGTATACATTAAAGAAAATGTTTATTTTAAAGGAGTAATACGTTTTTAAAACTAATAGCTGTGTACTGAGAGACGAAAAGGAAACGCATCTTTTAACAGGAAAGCATCGCAGCAGTTTTAGGGGAGCACACTTAAAAGTTATTGTAATGACAGCACACAATTAAGGCATTCTTTGATTAACCACTAATATCACTCCATGCTTTGAAGTGAGGGAAGCCATCGGGTAGAGACTTGGCAAGTGCTCATGGGATCACACTTCTCACTTCCCTCCTTTCTTATTGCTCCAAGGAGGTTGAAAGGGAAGAGAAGTGGGCTGCACCCTGTTTTTGTTCATCAGAAGGGATCTGTTTACGTCTGCATGTAACACGTTACAAATTAAAAGTCACCGGGCCTAGCAATTAAGAAGTGTGTTTTTATCCTTGATTTTCCACTGACTACCAGTTTCTCCAGTTGTGAAATTAAAAGATCATGCAATGGTATATGATCTTTTAAGATAGTATATCATGACTATAAGCAAGGTTTTTTTTTTTTAACATTTAATTTCTAGTTTTATTTGTTTTAAATTGTTAATCATGACCTGGGTTTTTCACTACACACCGTACCATCCCTTTTCTTTTGTTATCTGTCTCTGTAAATCTCTAATCACTCAAATCCATTGTTTTTTTACATGTCTGTACATTTACTGAGTGCCTGGGCACAGGCTTTTGATTCCGATATTGCAGGCTCCATAAAAAAAAACTATATGAGATTTAAAGTGTAGCTAAGGAGATGTAACACATATCTTATACTGCCTTGTAATGTTGGTCTTTAAAAGAAGAAAGAAATAGCATAAAGGGTCCCTAAGGCCTTCAGAAGAGTATGGGGGCCCACCTATTCCATGCAATTGTAACAATAACCAAAATACTTTGGTTTCATATGTGACTTCCAACATAGTCAGCCACTTTTCCTCCTTGCTCCAGGGAGCTGACTGGCACCAACCTAGCCCGGAGGGCAGGGACATGGCAAGCCTCAAGAGGCCTAATACCACCTTGGTTCTTTTTCCCTCTGGAAGACCGTAGGGCAGCTGATCTCTTTTGGGCAAGTTGAAGGGTTGGTTCTGATTCTGTATAGGGTCTCTTGATACACCCTTGAGTAGACTGATTTCCCAAATTGGATCTGGAGTTCACCATGGCTTGAGGACTTGAGGACTTGAGGACATGAACTAGAGGACTCTATTTCTTGTCCAAACTCTTCTACCCCAGGCTCTCTAGACTGATATGAGTAGGAATCAAAGAGGCACTAGAAGGGAAGTTGTTTTTCTTTTTTAGCTTTTGACACTTTGGTTGAGATTATGGTTCAAAACAAGTTCTTTGTATCAATGCTTATTGTCTGTTTCATTATTATTTTCTAACTAGTGTAATAGAAAGCATCAGAATGCTTCTAATTTGACCTAGAGCTGTCACAACTAGCTCTGTGGCCTTAGAAAAGCCATTTCAGTTCTCTGGGCCTTGGTTTCTCAATCAGTTAACAGAACTAAATACCTGTCTTGCCTTCCTTTTGAATTCTTAGGAGGATCAAGTGAAAAGATACATACAGCATCCTTGTGGCAGTTATAAAGCTCTACACAACTGTAGGTTATGTAATATATTGTTAACTAAAATAAATTTAACCCAGAAAGAGAAAAAAAATGTTGGTTATTGTTCTCTCATTAGTGTTGCATTTATGTTCCAGGTATTTATTATCCTACTGATTCTGATTCTGATGCTGTTACCCCACTGTCACTATGTTTTGTGGTTAAACTGGGATCACCAAGGATAACAGAAATTCAGATTAGGGGACATCAGTGGGTGGGTTGGAATTATCTAAGGGAGTGCTTGGAGGAGATGAACTGAATTTGCTTTGGGAGGATGGGTGGAACTTGGGATAAAAGAATGATCTGGGGTGTGATTGTGGGAACAATTGGGAGAGACCTTGAACATCAAGGTGAGCAGAAGCACTGAGGCAGGAGTGTGTGCTTGAGAATGAGTGTGTGTGTTTTGGAGGGGACAGGGCCAGAGGCAGAGAGAATATTAGCCTGGCTAGAAAGTAGGATGCCTGTAGGAAATGAAATTGCTTAGATAAGCTGGTTCTAGACTATTAAAATTCTTAAAAGCTGTATAGAAGTGTTGGGACTCACTGCAGTAGTGAGCTGTTACAGGTTCTGGAGCAGATTGGAAAACATGGTTTTGAGATCTTTCAGAAGTTAGTGACTTGCATTCTACATCAAGACTTACCTGCCATGTGCAGTTGGACATCTGACGTAACACCCTCCCCATCAACATATGCACCCCCTGCCTTACCTTTTCTTCTTCATCAGTAAACAATACCCAGATGCTCAGGCCAAAAATGAAGACTCATCCTTGATTGATTTGCTTGTTTGTTTTGTATTTCTCATGCCTCATATCCGGTCTAAATGTAAGTCCCATCAAATCTACCTGCAAAATATTTTCAAAATGTGACCTCTTCTCTCCATTTCTACTATTGCCATCCTCTACCAAGCCAGCATTGTCACTCATCCAAATGACGTCACCATGTGCCACCTCGTTTCCCTGCTTTCGCCCTCCTACAATCCATTCTCCTCATAGTAGTCAGAGTGACTATTAAAAGTAAAAACATAAATCAGATAATGTTACTTTCTGTTTGAAGTCCTTCACTTACCAGAGCACTTAGAATAAAATCCAAATGCCATAACTTGGCTTGCAAAGCCCCCCAGAAGCCTCTGCAGACTTCCTTTCCCACCGTCTTTTCCTGGCCCACCCAGCTCAGCCAGACTTGCTTTCTTCTGTTCTCACAATGGAACAAGCTCTCTTCTGTCTTAGACCTTTATACTAGTTATTCCTTCTATCTGAAATGATTCCTTTCCTTTATCTTGATGCAGATTCCGACTTCTTATCATGCTGGTATCAGTCGGTTTAAATGTCACCACAGAGAAGACATCCATGGCTAGCCGACCCAAAGAAGGCAACTGTTATTGTGTCACACTGTCCTGCTTCTCTTCTCTGTGGGGCACTTATTTTCTTATTTATCATCTCTCTCCCTTTTGCTAGAATGTAAACTCCATAAAGACAGAGGTATCGTTTTGTTTACTCAAGTATTTTCTGTATTTAGAATGGTGCTTGGTGCTTAACAGTTGCTCAGCAAATATTTGGTGACGGATAAAGGTCTTTCTGGCAGTTTTTGTTGCAGGTGGATTAGCTTAGGGAGAGCTTGGCAGTAAGAACACTCGCACAGAAGCTGTTGAAGGAATCCCATGTAAGGTGGTGGGGACAGAAAGGAAAGAGCTAATTCTGCTCTTTCCTGCGATGCATACTAAAGGAAGAAATACCAGAAGACTTATTGATAGACTGACTTTATCATCTCCAGCATCCAAAGATGACTCTATGGTTTCTAATGATAGAACCTAGAACAGTACCAGCCCTGTCAGAACTGTGATTGGGAAGGGATTCCGTGTGAAACTAAAGGTGAATCTATTTGGGGCATCTTGAGCTAGAGACAAGGATTTGAAAATAAGAATTTAGAGTACAAGTTAGGGCTAAGATGTAGATTTTCAACTTTTCTATTTAAAGGTGACACAAAATCAAAGTATTTAAAAGTATGCCGATACCAGAGAAAACCTTTTTGTACTGGCTGTTCCCTGAAGACTTGTATCGTACTTTGATTCCTGTTCCCTCAGCCAGGAGGGTTAGTCTCTGTGTGGTAAGAACTCCTCTGCCCTGGGCCACTTGGAAGAATCATTCTTTTAATGTCTTAGATATCGGTAAGTTTCTTTAGTCTGGAGAGACACAGCAATGAGACTAGATGGTTGGTTGGCTTTTAATAATTATTTCTCCTTGCTCCCAGGTTTTCAATTCTATTCATTTGTAAAAGTCTGTAGTCAAGTAGGTCTATAGCCAATCTGCATAAATTCCATAGAAATCTAAATCTAAATCTTAAGGGATTTTAAAGTTCAGTGTTTATGGTATACTTTCATTTGCATAATAAATACAAATACATGAAAAAGTATCTAAGCCAGGAAAGTCTTTCCCTTGTAGCAACTTCTATTCTAATTTGACCAATTAGCAAAACTTGCAGAGATATTACTTATTAATTTTTTCCCTTTTTTCTCCTATCGAGGTCTTTGGTTAATTGCCCTTCATTTTGTCCCTTTTCATACTATCGGCGTTGGTTTGCCAGGACAAACAACGTCTGTGCTCCACACTGGAAGCTTGAATTTACCGTTGCGCATCGTGTTCCCTCTGACTAGGCTAGTCCATGGGCCTAACAGTGATAGAGTGTCTGCTTGAATGCTGCATTAGCTGCTGGACCTATATTCCCTTACTTGATTTTTTAAAAAGTATTATTCTCTATAGTTCAATATGTAAAATTTTGAATTTTATCATTTAAAATTCATCTTGATAGAATTGGGAGAGGACAGAAAGTTTATCATATTAGGTTTAATTTTTATCATTTACTATAACTTTATCACCTATGATTGTAGGTTTAGTCTGTCCCTTATTTTGTTATCCAAGTTAAAAAATATATATAAGTCGAGGGGCTGCCCTGTGGCGTAGTGGTTAAGTGTGCGCGCTCCTCTGCTGGCGGCCTGAGTTCGGATCCCAGGCGCGCACTGATGCACCGCTTGTCAAGCCATGCTGTGGCTGCGTCCCATATAAAGTGGAGGAAGATGGGCACAGATGTTAGCTCAGGGCCAGTCTTCCTCAGCAAAAAGAGGAGGATTGGCATGGATGTTAGCTCAGGGCTGATCTTCCTCTCTCTCACACACACACACACACACACACACACACACACACACAATAAATAAATAATAAATAAATAAACAGGCATATTAAAACAAACAAAAAATATATATTTATAAGTCAGTAAGAGTGCAGAATTTTAAAATGCCAGAAGCAAATAAAAAAGACAAACCAGAGAGAATTTTTACGCTTCTGTCCTGTGTCATGGTAACTGCTGTCAATGATGTTTACTAAGAGATTGCGAGACTCCTTGGCCGAAAGTGAGGGGAGCCTGCATAAATGTGAATTGTCTTCTTTAAAAATATACATTGGTACAATGGAAGACTTTATCTTAAGACGAGAAAGAAAAATAGTTTCTTATTTAACATTTAGTTTGCCAAAATATGGACTACAAAAAAAGGCACTGCTTTTCATTCTATGTTTATATTTGTTGAATAAATGAATTCAGAATTTAAGGGGAGGTGCTATTCAGCATTTTTCTGTTAGAATTATGAGGGTTTTTTTTCTTCCACATTTTAACATTTCTGGATTCTGAGAAGATAGGCAGAAAAGTGTTTACGACACCTTCCTGTATGGTCTTGGGTATTATTTTCACATGTAAGTCTCTCCTCGTTTGACTTCTTACCTCCTTCCTAGGTGAACGGAGGCATTGAGAACACGTTAGAGAAGGAGGTGGTGCGATATGACTACTACTCTTCTTATTTTGATATATTCGTAAGTATTTTCTGTTTCACACTGCATTTCAGACAGGAGGAAACGGGAACCAACAGGCAGATTTCCTCTCAGTAGACCTGAAATTCTATGCCATCGTTTTTCCTCCCTTGAACATTATCTTTCTTTTTCTCTTAGTTGCTGGCCCATTCAGTGTTCTCCCTGTGTCTTTCTAAGGAATTGTCTGGTCATCTGAAGGAAAGAAAAGATTAATGAGAGATAAGGGGGGCAGCAGAAGGATCCATTCTCATCTTCTTGGAGGAGAACATTTATTCTTTCAAATGACTGAAATAGCAGCCATTGACATACCCTAATCACTAAAAGGAAAATTCACCTGTTTATATAATAACACAGTGAAAATGCCATTGCTTTTCTGCCTTGAGATTTCTGTATGTATTTTTGATAATATTCTATGTTTCATTTTTCCATAATAGGAGTTTTTGAGGAAAGATATATATTGGTAGCCTTGGGCAACATTAGTCAGTTGTAGAATTACATAGGTGCAATTACCTGTAGATGAGGCATTCATTTTATTCAAACGAATGCTTGCAGTCGCTTTCTCAGACACACTATGACTTTGATTGGGTTTGATTCATCTCCATGGTATCTTTTTATAGTTGATAAGGTAAGTAAATCAGATTCTAACATTATATTAGACATAGCGTAGGCATTTAAAATTTGTAGTGAACTCCCCCAAATTCATTTTAGCTACTTTATTCACTATCTTTAGTAGCCGTATGCACAATGGTTAAGAGTAGGACCCTTAAAGTCAGAAAAACGTGAGTTTGATTCACAACACCATCACTAGTTGTATATCTTTGAATACTTTGGGTCTAAACTTCAGTTTCCACATATGTAAAATGAGATCATCCTAGTTCCGAAAAGTAAATGAAATAATACATGGAAAACACTTAGCCCAATGGTAGGTACATCCTAGAAGCTCAGAGAACCACCTGCAATCACTATCATTATCATTATTTTTGGTTGAGAATTTTATTGGTTGTATTTTCTAGTGGTTTTCAAACAACTCTAAAAAGTTTCGTTATGTTTTGTTTTTGAAGAGGCCTGCAGAAAGTGTGTATGGGGAAAGAGGTGGAATTCCCAATAAATAGAGATCAAGGTTCCTTGTCATCACCCCCTTGCAAGCTGAGTAGTTCCATTTTTATCTGTACAGTATGTTAGGGGTCTAATAAGATTGTGTTGAAAAAGTGTTTGGCTGATACAGAATATTTGGAAAACCACTAATGTCATTTAATCCCCTCGTTTTTCCAAATGAAGAAATTGAGTTTCATAGTTCAGTGTCTTGTCCTATCCTAGGTCATTGAAGTTGGTGGCAGAGCATGTTAGATCCCAAATCTCATGATATTTCTTCCTTCTAAAACTATTGACATATAATAACAAAATTGATTTCTCCTTTTTTTCTTATTTCTCTTGCTGAATTTATCTTAAAATAGCCTGAGCCAGGAATTGCCAGGAAACCAGGTTAATCCACTGGCCAGATCTCCAAGGACTGTTTGTACTCAGTGCTTAGAAAGTTAGTGGTCATGGACAGCTAGGCGGGGCCCCTTAGCTTAGATTGGAAAGACTGTCATGCCTGGCGTAGGAAATGGACACACTCCACAGGAAACTTTGGGATCTGGGAGACTTCAAGGTAGAGGGGTAAAAACTTATATTTTTGCTAAGTCCAGAATGCAAAGATATAGTTGGAATGAATAGAGATACTAAACGTTTAGCAGATTGTTGGAAAACACATTTTTAGTGAAAGCAGCAAATTAAAAAAAATACAATCTGCAAACTTCATTTATGTAAAAGGATCTTAAGTGAGATCATCTAGTCAATGACAGCAAAAAGGTTGTCACCTTCCAGCCCTGCAGCAGTTTTGGTTAGTAAGGAACTTTTGGCAGACCCCATACCCTGAGGCATTGCTCAAGAGACACCTGACTTTTTCCTACGCAGAATAAGCATGTTTTCCAAGTAAAATTGCATTCTGTATTTATTCCTTAGTAGGTGAGAGTTACTAAGAGCTGTGGCACAGTGGTTAAGAGCCTGGTCTTTAGAGTCAGCCTACCTGGGCTCAAATCCTGGCTTCCTCGCTAAGGAGCTGTGTGGCCTTCTACAACTTTTCTATCCATCTTATCTGTATAATAGGATTAATGATAGTAGTTGACTCTTGGTGTTTTTGGGGTGAGGATTACATAGGATAATAATACACATAAAGGGTTTCACAAAAGTCCCTGAACCATCTTAAATAATCAAATGGTAGCTACTGGGACAGGCAGAACTCTCCCAACACCCTAGTAGCCCAGAGCTTTACAGTGGGCTTGACAAAGAACCTGATATCTTCCAAAGGTGAGTGTTTGTACCTGGAGTGGAAAAGTCAACTTTCAGAACATGTTCTCTAATCTTAAGAGGATATCAGAGATATATGTGAACTCAAATAGAAAGGAAAAATAAACATTTAATTATATGTTGTTTTTTGGATAATGGGAAGTTAATTTGAATCCTTATTTGGGTGGTATTACATAAATTCTAGATCAGGGATCCCAAATGCTGGTCTGTAGACTGTTGCTAGTCTGTGGCAGTCTTCAGCTAAATCAGAAAAATGAAGACACTTTGGTGGATTCTTCATAAAACTAAATTATCTTACTTATGTATATATTTTCTAAAACTTGTCTTTTTTTTAAATATAGCTCTTGGCAGTTTTTCGATTTAAAGTGTTAATACTTGCATATGCTGTATGCAGACTGCGCCACTGGTGGGCAATAGCGGTAAGTACGCCTGGGTGAGTGGTTCATCTCCTCCGGTGCTGGTGGCCAGGGCCTGCTCACAGCAGGGGTGAGCTGAGAGAAAATAGAGTTTTCATATGGGTTGAATTCCACTAGCTTTTCCTGAATCCCCTTCTTCCGCAGTAGGTTTAACACTCCAGGGCTTCTTTCCAGTGGTAATGAGTAACTAGCTTTGTCTCTATGGATACTGAGCCAAATGAGGAATCTGGAGGCCCAATGGTGATTATTGCCTAGCCTCAACCCACCCTTTACCTCATTTTGCAAATGAGAGATGAGATCAGTACCTCTGTCGCGAAGATATTTGGAAAATTTCCTATTTGGTTGAAACTGCTTGATGATTTTTCGTGACTTGCTCTTTGCTTGTTTTGATAGTTCCCTTCCTCCCTGTTTTATTCCCCTCCCTCCATTCTTAAAGGGAAAAGCTCCCATGCTCCTTTTTATTGTTACCTTTGGGCTTCTTGAAGGCAGTGGCGTTTTTACTCATCTCTGTTTCCTTGCATCTAGCACAGAGCTTTGGCACATGCTATTCACCCTCAATAAATATTTATTGATTGAAAGAAGAATTATAAGCAATTCTGCCTGAATTATTTTTGCCATTTCCACAGACGTCTGAACACTCACCTTTTTGAGAGCTCTAATAAGGCAGGTATATGGGGTAGGGGGGGATGCTGAGCTCCTCAGACTGGAGAGAACTGCTCAGGAATAACCTGCAGTCCTGCTTTTGGGGTCTGAGACCTCGGTCTGTGTGGGGGCCGGCAGAGGCTTGTCCAGCTGGGAATGGAGTTGTGTTTCTCTCCTAAGGAGTCCACCAGGGGCCACGTCTGCCTGAGCCATCTCTTCTGAGCATCCACAGAATCATAGGGCTAATGTCAGACCATCTGTTGAACCCCAAGCTCGCATTTCACGGCTGTAGGCTGACAGTTTAGCCAGAATTGACTCCCTTTCATGAATACTCTTTTGCTGATACCAAATAGCTGTGATGATTATCCTTTCCGTATTTTCTACAACAGTCCCTATTTGGGACATTCTATTGCAGAGTGCCCATAATGTACACTAGTATTTGTCAGACCATCTGTCTCAATGTTAATTTCAGAAAAGTGGTTAACATTCAATGAGAGTTTTAAGAAAAGTATCTTCAATATCTACTTTCAAATTATCAAAGGGACAGGTCAGATTTAGCATATCCATTTTATCATTGCTGATTCTTCTTTTTAAAAACATTTGCAGAGAGGGTCCAGGCAGCTGGAAGGAGATGTCAGCTGGTGCCTAAAGAGCACTTAGTGTCAGCCTGTAAAGTTAATTAGTATCAGAGTGTAAAATGCCTCTTTTCCCAAGTAGCTCACTCTGGCTGGGGTGTGTGTGTATGTGTTGGTTGTGTTTTGCTAACAAATGCTGACTCTACAACTTTGTTAATGCTTACTGAGCGTGACACCTGATGTCCCCTGACCTCTATTCTGTCAGTCAAGGCTGCTATTGGCATTCACTCTGGTCAGGTTTCACATTGCTACAAATCTTAGTTGGCGCCTGGAGTGACAAGGCCCAGGTCCTGTGGAATTATCTCTGGCTTCCCAGCCCCTAGGGGGAGCCCTGCCTCTGTATTTCACTGGTCCCTTACTCCATTTGGTGATAGTGCCTTTGGATGTTGTACCCTCTGGTGGACCAAACCTAGTTTCCTAACACACTAGCCTGCTAAAATGTGCGAGAAAGGAAACCACAAGCAGCCAGTCAGGGATTGTGTGCCACTCGAAGCCCACTTTGCCCCAGTCTGGGTTTAGGGAATAGAGAGAGAGTGATGTGGTAAGGAGCCAGGCCAGACAGAGCTGTTTCAGGCATTTTGTGTTTCTGGCTCAGATGAATCTCTTGTGTGAGGAAGGTGCCTTCACAATGTCAAATGTCTAATTTGAGTGGTGCTGGGTTATGTGTCTTTCAGTTGACGACAGCAGTGACTAGTGCCTTTTTACTAGCAAAAGTGATCCTCTCAAAGGTATGGCCTACCACTTCTTCTGTACAATTACCATGTATAATGACAAAGCCTTGTTTTCCTGTGTGAGCTCATGGTAACTGCATTTCCCTCTTGGTCACCTCTGTTCCTCCAGCTTTTCTCTCAAGGGGCTTTTGGCTATGTGCTGCCTATCGTTTCATTCATCCTTGCCTGGATTGAGACATGGTTCCTGGATTTCAAAGTGTTACCTCAAGAGGCAGAAGAAGAAAACAGTAAGTTTCTCTCAAAGTAGCCTCCTGAGACCTGCTAGGTGCCGAGCTGGAAGGAGGAGCTGTAGATGTCTGGATGTGAATGGAGCTGCAGCTGGAGTTAGGCGGATCACGGTGTCTCCATCCTTCAGTGGGCACAGCAGAAATCGAGAGGAGGGTTGGATGAAAGGATAGTGACGGAATGTGGCTCCTCCTCTAGCTTCCCTGGAAGAAAGTGTAACACTGGTGAAAAAGACATTCAGACAACAAAAATAGCCAACACCTCTTTTTCCTCAGACAGGTTGACCTTTTGTCCCTGTTAGTAGTAGTCATAGACACTAAGCATTTTGTGTATCTGGAGAGAACTGTGTTGTTTAGGGACAGAGAAATGTAAATCAGTTTTAGGTGAGCTGAGGCAGCGGTTCTAAATAACGGTCAGTGATTTTCCAAAGTCTCATATTTGCTACCCATACACCAGGTGGTGCCTTGAATGGGCCATAATTAGAACCTAATTGTTGAGTGCCTGGAGTGGGATTATTGGTGGGTAGAAGATGAAGATGGAGTTCAGAGGAGCAAGATAGCAAGCCAGAGAAATGATCAGCCATCTCAGGCTTTCGCCATCCTCCTCTGAGTAGCTGAGTGATAGATAGCATTGTGTAATCATGAGTCCTGCCAAAGCTCTTATAATTCCTTTGTGTGGCTTTGAGTATCCCTGGATATTAACTAGGAAGTCCAAATGATTGATTGAACTTGATGATTAATTATTGGACTGGAATTCTCTGCATGATGGCCTTTGTAGAAGCCCACACACCCCACCCACCCTCTTGGAGGTGACATGGTCAAAGCTCAATGCAGAGACCCAGACAGTTTCAAGACATGCTGTTGTTATGCTCTGTCAATCAGCTGGCTCGATTTGCCCTGCCTTAATAGGGAAAAAAGTCTTGTGTCTTATAGAGAGTTAAGCATGATTATAACCTCAAGAAACAGCAGAAGGAAAAATAACCTTGCAAATGGTTTTATTTTGGAAAATCTCATTTACAGAGAAGAAATCTATGAGAGAAGAATTATAGTCAAGAATAGGTTTTAAAATATGTGTTAATTAGACCAAGACGTGTCTTCTATCCTGTGCCCTCTGTTCCTTTATGAAAATGTATTGTGGAGAAGGGACAGGTAAAGCTAATGGAAGTCACTTCTTTTTTAATTGTTTATGAACATCAAATTGAACTTTATTGAATTAACTATTAATGTGACTGAGGCTTGAATGCTTGTGTGATTAAACCAAATTCAAAGTAACTAATAGAGCAGAACACACAATTAATGAAAAATTTTAAAATAGCATTTATTTCCACTGTCTGTAACACATATTACACACATTCCTGGCACCTGCTGTTTGGCCTGATGTTTCCTCCAACTTTATCCCAGTGTTAACTCAGCTTCAGCCAAAAGAACTCATTGTCGATGGCCTCTCTCATCTTGGGTTAGCGTTCTTGAGCTGTCTGCATCATGCTTCCTTCTTTTTTCTTTGCTTGTTTTTTTAAAATATGCTTCTTTTCTAGGGGGACCTTTTTATTGCATAAATATCTCTTCGCCATCTTAATTATTCTTTATATATTTATAAAAGACTATCCATTTATTATCCTTTACATCTGGCATTTCTCTAGTTGAATGCACACTGTAGACCATTTGCACAAGCTGACTAGATTTTTTGTTTTGCTTTGTGCTTTGGTTTTGATGTTCTTGTTGATTTCTATAGGGCGGTAGGAAAGATGCTATAAATACTGAGTTAAGGAATCCCATAAGTAATGTGAGGCAATTTTTTAAACTAGCTGGAATATGTTCGTACAGTACTGGTTCATAGTTTATTAATAAAACTTCGATTTTTTGGTTGAGAGATTTTCAGAGTACCTCTTTTTATTGTGGTTAACCTTGCCAAGAAGCTACCAAAACAGTGACATCATTCCCAGCATCTGAATTTCTTCTCTTCTAGGACTCCTGATAGTTCAGGATGCTTCGGAGAGGGCAGCACTTATACCTGGTGGTCTTTCTGATGGTCAGTTTTATTCTCCTCCTGAATCTGAAGCAGGTAAAAAATTTGATTATCATTTATATTTTGGTCCATCATTCAGAAGCTCAGCCCCCCTCCCTCTTCTTCTCAATACACTTAGCAAACATTTAACATACCAGTTACTTAGGATATGAAAATAATTAAGATGTGGTCTTGAAGTGTGGCCAGTGGTAAGACATGGAGGTGTGAAAATTAAATAGGGGGCCATAGACACTGGGATTTGTGATCTGCGTCTTTGAAGATAGAGGGACAGGGGGAAGGTGCTCTCTTTATTATCTGTCAGCCCTCAACTGACCTTCCTCCAGGATTCCCCAGGTCTGAGAGTGGCGGCCCTGCCTACCCAGTTTCCCAAGTCAGAAACCAGAGCGTCACTGGGGACTCTCCCCCTTTCTGATGGCTCATACCATGCTATTTTGATTTTCTTTATTTCTGCCTCCTTTATCTCAAATTATACCACTAATATCATCTCCAACCTTAATTCAGCATTTCCTGTTTCAGTTTCTACAGAAGTCTCCTGTCTCCCTGCCTCAGTTGCCTTCTTCCAGCCAGCCACCAGAGTACCATGTTAAAAGTGACAATTGCATTATTCTAAGATTTCTTTATGACCACACTATGATGTAAAAGTCTCATTTCTATTTTTAGAGATGAGATAATCGAGGCTCAGAGAAGATGAAATAATTTGTCCAGTATCACACAAAGAAGAAGTGGGGCTAGGATTTGAACCCTGGCTCCAGTGCTAGAGTCCATGCTCATAGCTAATAAATATACAGCCTTTCGGTATTAATCACAATACAGAATTGATCATGTTATTCCTCTGCCCAAAAGCCTTCAGTGGCATAAAGGATTAAGAAAGCTGTGGATCCTTAGCCTGGCAGAAAGCACCTCTATGACCACCCTTACCCAGTTGTCCAACCTCTCTTCTTGTTACTCTCTCCCTGTGTTCTCTTTTTAGCTCTTCTGAAAATGCTGTACACCAAAACCCTCAAGCCGTTGTGCATCTTGCTTTTTCTATCCTTAACACTACCCCTCTGCAATCCTAGTGTCCACTCACATGTTCAGAAGGCCTCTCCCCACCCCCCACCACTGTTTCCGGGCAGCCATACATGGGGTGTACTTTGCCTGCTCTTTAGGACTCTCCCATAGCCCTGTCATCCTGGGTTGACTGCACTGTCTTCAGCACTGACCTGGCCTGTTTCTACCATTGAGATGTAGACTTGAGTTAGAGACTGCATTATTTTATTCTGCTTAGTAAATATTCTGAACACACAACACACACAAAATATAATAAAACAGAGTCCAGGCAGAAGGAGCTGTGTGAATGATCAAGGGCACAGCAATGTGACATAGCACATTAGGGACTCCAAGTAACTTGATATTCTGGAGTTTTGGTGTTGGATCTAAAAACAGTATAAAACACAAAAGTATAGAGTCAGATGAAATAATGATATGAGTTAGCAGAACATCTGTTTCTCAGCCAGTACAAACTCAAGTAAGTATTAAGCTTTTTGTTACCTCGTTAGAAGGATTATTTCATTGAGGTTTTTATATATTCGTAGGACTCATTCTTTTAAAAAAAGAAAGTTTGCATTTTAGTTCATGCTTTTGTATAGCTTTTATTTTTCTAGGACTAATAAAATTTCTCAGCGCTAGTGTATTTTCTTAATTAGAAGTTCAGAGCAGCAGGATAATAATAACATGAGGAAACCACCTTAGGCATTCATCAAGCAATCCATTGGCTTCCTACCTGTGGCTTTTACCACCACCTAGTGGTAGTTTAGAGCATTACCATTTCATTGGATTATGAAGCTAAACAGGAACAAGAAATACTTTCAATGTTCTGATGGGTAGCTGCTTTATTTAAGACAAAATGCAGATCAGTAGTGGGCAGAGAAGGCATATTTGAAGTGGCTTACTTTATTATATTTGCATTGTCTGAGTGTTCAATTTAGGAGAGAATTAAAATTAAAAACTATTGTTGGAATGAATGTGCCTAGAAAAGAAGGTTCTACTCTAAAGTAAAGCTTTCTCATTTGACCAATGGCTAAATATTAAACAGTCTTTCAGCAGCAGAAAGCTGCTGTGACACAGCGCTGATTGGCCCTCATAGATTAGAGGATGTCTGGGCCCTGCCTTGTCTTTTCTGGTCTTTCTTTCTCCAACACCATGTATGGTGCCTGACATATAGTAGATTTAATAACTATTGAAGGAATGAGTGGAAAGAAGAGAGAAAGAAAGAAATTGGAGGCACCAAAAATTAAAATGTGAACACTTTTCCTTGGAAAGGAATGGCTTGAATTTTAGTATCAGAGATTTGGAAAACTAGCACATTCTCGTAGATGTACTTTTAAAGGATATAAAGATGGTTTGTTTGCAAGTTTGCTTGTCGGTCTAACCATATCCTGCTTACCTGTGTATTAAATGGAAATAGCAAAGAAGCACAATCCTCTCTCAGATGGTTGATTGAAGTTGTTATATATGACATCAGACAGCTTATATGAAACAGTTGTGATGATGGGGAAAGGGTATTTGTTACCTCCTAAATCATCGAAAGAATGCCTTAAAATGAAGAATAGCTCAGTTGTATAATATAATCGGTTCTAAGCAAATCTAGAAGAAGGCATTAAAAATTTGAATATGATACCTATTGAAAGTAACCATACATACTGGTTTCCTAGCACAGTCTTGGCTTACTCCTGTGTCCCCTTGTAATTACTATAACTCCTTTTATCTCTCGGAAGTGTTCTTGTTTAGATGATCAATTATATAGTCACTCTGTGTATAGTCAATAGTCAATTGAAACAATTTTATCCCTTTTTAATTAATATTTTGAAAAGTATTGAAAAATCGTAGCTGAGGATATTAGGTAACATTCATTTTTTTTTAAAAACAGCTTTAATAAGGTATAATTTGCACACCCTAAAATTCATCCATTGTAAATGTGCAATTGCATAATTTTTAGTAAATTTATAGTTTTTTAACCAAATCACAGTACAATTTTAGAGCAATTTTTTCGTTTGAAAAAGTTCCTTTATTTACATTTAATCCCTCCTTCTAATTCCAGTCCCAGGTAATCCACTGATCTGCTTTCTGTCTTGAAAATTTGCCCTCTTTGGACAATTAATGTAAATGTAATTGTAGTTTTTTACATCTGGCTTCTTTCAATTAGCATAATGTTTTTGAGGGTCGTTGATGTTGTAGCATGTGTCAGTAGTTTGTTCCTTTATATGGCTGAATACTTGTCTGTTATATGGATATACGTCGTTTTGTTTATTCATCAGTTGATGGACATTTGGATTGTTTCCAATTTTTGGCTATTATGAGTGATCCTGCTGTGAACATTCACGTACATGTCTTTGTGGGAATGTATGTTTTTATTTTTCTTAGATAGTTCTAGAAGAGGATTTGCTGGGTCATGTGGCAAGTTTCTGTTTAACTTTTTAGGTAATTGCCCCGTTGTTCTCTGAGGTTGCTGTACCATTTTACATTCCCTCCAGCAGTGTATTAGAGTTTGTTTCTCCATATACTCACCAATGCTTGGTATTGGCTGTCTTTTTGATGATAGCCATTCTAGCAGGTGTGAAGTGGTATCTCCTTGTGGTTTTACTTTCCATGCCCTTAATGGCTAATGACATTGAGAACCTTTTCACGTACTTGTTAGTTATCCATATATCTTTAGAGAAATGTCTATTTGAAGATGTTTACCTTTTCTTTTTCTTCTTAGTTATGTTGATTGTCTTCTTAATGAGTTGTAGGAGTTCTTTATATATTCTAGATAAAAGTCCTCTACAAGATACATGATTTGTGAATATTTTCTTCCAGTCTGTAGTCTTTTTGTTTTCTTCATGGAGACTTTGAAGGACAGATTTTTAATTTTAATCAAGTTCAGTTCATCAAAATGTATTCTTTTATGGAGAATGTGTTTCAGAGCATATCTGAGGACTCTTTGCCTTAACCCTGTGTCACAAAGATTTTCTCACATGTTTTCTTCAAGAAGATTTTACAGTTTTAGCTCTTTTATTTAAGTTTATGGTCCATTTTGAATTAATTTTTGCGTATGGAGATAAGGAACTAAATTCATTCTTTTGAGGCAGCACCATTTGTTGAAAAGACTATCCTTTCCCCATTGGATTAACTCGGCACGTTTCTCAAAAACCAGTTGACTATAAATATAAGGGTTTATTTCTGGACTCTCAGTTCTCTCCATTGACCTGTGTGCTTTCCTTGCCCCAGGAGCACAATGGCTTGATTACTGTGATTTTATTTTTGTGTGTCTTTGAGATCAGGTCCTGTAAGGTCTTGCTTGAAAGGCCTGGCCTGCTGTCACCTGAGACCTCGATTTTGTAAGTAAAGAACCTTGTCAGTCCCTCTGGGGCGTGTGGCATTGTCAGTCTCAACATCCAAATCACATTTTGGGGGCTCCCTTCTCCCACTGCTTTTGCAGGGTGACCTTAACAGTCCTCCTACTTTGTTTTTTGAAATTTTTTTGGCTAGTCTAGGTCTTATGTGTTTTCACGTAAATTTTAGGACGAGCTTGTTCATTTTTGCCCAAAATGCCTGCTGCATTGAATATATAGATCAATTTGGGAAGAATTGCCATCATAACAATGCCGAATCTTCTAATCCATGAACATGGACTCTCTCTGCATTTCTCTCTGCTTTGTTTTTTAGTTTTTAACAGAGAAGTTTTACTCTTCTTTTGTTAAATTAATACCTAAGTGTTCTATTCTTTTTGGTCCTATTGTATATGGAATTGTTTCCTTAATTTCATTCTCAAATTGTTTTATGCTAGTATATAGAAATACAATTGGTATTTTGTATCTTGAACTTCTATCTTTTGACTTTGCTAAACTTGTTTATTAGTTCTAATTTTGGTTTTGTGTGTATGGATTCTATGGAATTTTCTACATACAGAATCATGTCGTCTGTGGACAAAGACTGTTTTACTTTTTTCCTTTTCAGTCTGCTGGATATCTTTAATTTTGTTTTTTTCTTCTTGCACTGCCTAGAACCTCCAATACAATGTTGAATAGAAGTGACAAAAGCGTCCTTGTCTTGTTCTGGGTCTTTGGGTAAAAGCATCGTTGTCTTGTTCTGGGTCTTTGGGTAAAAGCGTCCTTGTCTTGTTCTGGGTCTTTGGGGAAAAGCATTCAGTCTTTCAACGTGAAGTGTGATGGTAGCTGTGGGTTTTCACAGATGCCCTCTATCAGGTTGACGAAGTTCCATTTTATTCCTAGTATGTGGAGGTTTTTATCATGAATGGGCACTGAATCTTTCAAGTGCTTTGTATGCATCTACTGAGATGATCATGTGGTTTTTATCCTGTATTCATTTAATATGGTGTATGACATTAATTGATCTTTCGATGTGAAATCAACTGTTTATGTCTGGGATAAATCTCAGTTGGTCATGTTTATAATCCATTATGTATGTTTTTGGATTTGATTTGCTAGTATTTTCTAGAGGATTCTTCTACCTGTGCTCATGATTTTTGTACCTACTGGTCTGTGGATCTCTTATTATGTCTTGGCTTTGATATCAGAGTAATGCTGGTCTCACAGAACACATTGGGAAGTGTTCCAAACTCCTCTGTTTTCTGAATGAATCCTTTTTATGAAGGGTCGGTATCATTCTTTCTTTAAATGTTTGATAGGTTCTCCAATGAAACCATTCTGGGCTAGGGATTTTTTTGTGTGTGGAAAGATTTTTAAAATTACCAATTTACTCTCTTTACTTGATATATATAGGTTTTTTCCAGAGTTTTTATTTCTTCTTGAGTCAGCTCTGGTAATTTGTGTCTTCCTAGGAATTTATCCATTTCTTCTAAATTATCTAGTTTGTCGATATGAATTGTTCATAATATTCCGTTATAATTCTTTTCAGAATCTGTAAGATTGGTAGTGATGTTTTTCCCTTTTTTTCTTGATTTTCATAATTTGTGTGTTCTCTCATTTCTTTTTGGTAATTCTAGCTTGAGGTTTGGCAAATTTGTTGATATTTTCAAAGAACTAACTTTTGTTTTCATTGATATTTCTCTAGTGTTTTTCTGTTTTCCATTTCAATTATTTCCATTCCAATTTTTATTTCCTTTATTCCGCTTGGGTTGTGTTTAGCTTGCTCTTCTTTTTTATGATTGATTTTAAATCTTTCTTCTTTTCTGATATAAGCGTTTAAAGCCGTAAATTTTCCTCTTGGCATTGTTTTAGCAATATCGTATAAGTTTTGATATGTCGTGTTTTCATCTTCATGCATCCTTGGCTTTCAGCAGGTTGCCTGTAATGTGTCTACATGTGGATCTGTTTGTATTTATCCTAATCAGCATTTGTTTAAGTTATTAGATGTGTGGATTAATATTACTCAACAAATTTGGGGAGTTTTGACCATTATTTTTTCAACCATTTTTCCTGTTCCCCTTTTTTTCTGTTCTCTGTTTCATGAGTTCCATTACATGTATGTTTGTATGCTTGGTATTATCTCATAGATCTCTGAGCTCTGTTAATTTTTCTTTTGTTTTTTTTCCTCTCTGTTACTCAGATTGGATAACTTCTATTGCTGTATCTTCAGGTTCAAATTCTTTTTCTGCCAAGTTGAATATTCTCTTAATGCCCTCTAGTGAATATTTCACTTAGTTTTTATAATTTTCTACTCCCGATTTAATTTTTTTAATTTTCTAATTTTGTAATTTGTCTCCTTCTTGAGAATCTCTATGTGTTGATTTATTGTTGTCATATTTTCCTTTAATTCTTTAAACATGGTTTTCCATATTTCTTTGAACATAATTGTAACAGCTGCTTTGAAGTTTTGCTAAATAAAATATCTGGATACACTCAGAGGCAGTTTATATTGAATTGTTGATTTTGTTTTGTTTTCACACTTTTCTGATTTTTGCCTGTCTGATTTTTTAGAGAAAAATATTTTGTTGAAAATATGTTGTAGCAACTCTAGATTCTGATTTTTCCCCCATAAGGTTGCTGTTATTGCTGTTTGTTTACTTAGAAACTGGCCTGAGCTAAATATGTGAAATTACGTCCCTCGTGGTGTGTGGCCACTGATGTCTCTTCTCAGTGTTTTTCTTTTTTTTGATTTTAATTCTCTCGTTTTTAAGTCTAGCTCCCTAGGGGTCACCCCTGTATCTACATAGCTTAGTGACAGCCAGTGATAGGACAGAGATTGTCCTCAACCCCCTTGATTAAGACTTCCATACTCTACCAGGTGGATATGTATATGTATTGGGTAGCACATTCAAATTTCAGGCCATTTTGAGTCTTCCACAGCGTGTACATTTTGCCGAGTCCTTTCACATCTCCTCTGCAAATGCTCACAGCCTCACGGTTGACCAGGAGACTTTGGCTAGCTCAGCTCTTTTGGATCTCTGCTAAGCATGTGCACAGCTTCAGCCAAGCATATGCTTGCTGCAGCCGTGACTACAACTTCAAACCAGCAGAGCCTCTGGCCCTTCCTGCTTGCACACCACTGAGTTTGTCAGTTCACCATCGTATCACACCCACCCCAGTCAACTTCATAATTTTTATGACAGTCTTCATGGCCTGCCCTGAATTGGAAGAACCTTCATGCCCATGGAGCTGGATGTTGGGAGATGGGGGAGGAATGGGAGCAGCTCCAGGCAAGAACACCACTGTTGCTGCCTGAATTGTGCAGTTTTTCAAGCATAAGCAGTTCTCAGATTGTTGTGTGCCCTTGGTCATTTCCTGAGTTCTGAAATGGTTAGTTTTGTTCTTCTTATCCAGTTTTATAGTTGCTTTTCAAAAAGAGAATTTACTGACCTCACTTGACCAGAGCTAGGAGGCCTTGCTAGCATTCACTTTTATATTATGTAAAGCACACATATTATTATGTTTAAATTAAAAGTTTGGCTTTATTTAGAATTCCCAAATAATTCCAAGACATGTCAGCTCATTCTGGCTGCAATGCCGTTAGCTGCCAGGTGGAAAGTGAGCCCAGAAACAAGAAGACTTGGTGTGACCATCTTCCTCAGACTCCTCTCAAAGTGAGAAAGCAGTTAAACCCCACCAGTGTCTCTACGATTTACAGCAGTTTAATAGGCTGGAAAGCGAAGCCTTCCAACCCCTATACCTTTCTCTATTTATTTCATCACAAATGTAACCTGAACGATGTGACATTGATGAGGTTAAGACCGGGGACAGAATCTTTTCTTAGGATTCTTGGCTGTTCTTTCTTCTGTAGCAGGTTTGTTCTTGGCTGTAATCCAGGCTGACATCGTAAGAGACAACGTCCCTCCTGAAGTGTGTTATCTGACCAGAGGAGAGCACCAGGGAGGCAGGCGGCTTCTTGTGTGCATAGCACATATCTCCAACCTGCTACCTCGGTCTTCTCCCCGCTCCTTTTTTTATCTCCTTCCCTGATAGTGAGAGTAATGCGTTCTTTTTATAAAAACGTGGAAAGAGAAAAATAAAAGATTATCTGTCCATCAAACTCCTCAACAACATCATTGTGATAGTTCAGTATCTTTCCTTCTAGTTTGTGCTTGTAACTTAAATGATTGTGGTCACACTGCCCATATTATTTATACCCTGTTTTAAAAATTAAAAGGTCAGTTTCAGTTTATTGTAGAAATTTTGGAAGATCCAGAAAGGTATGTAAGTCACCTTATTATTTTTTTCTAGTCTTTCTAAATTGCAAATTTATATTTAGTTTTTCATTTTTATCAACTATGGTCTTATAGAACATACAATTTCATTTATTTCATATTTGCTTTTACTTTATAACAAATGTATTTTCCAGGTTATGAACTATAAATATAATTTTAGGTGGATGTAAGATATTTCATAGAAACATAATTTAACTTTTCTTCTACTCTTTTTTTTCTAATTTTTAGAGGGAAAATCTACATAATGGAAAACAAGTATTATTTCCTCAGGGATATATCCTAAGGATATAAATTCTGGGGTGGAATGACTGGGTCAAATGCATGAATAAGATAAGGCTCACGAGGCACAGTGCCCAGAATGGCTGTAGCAGTGGTCGCTGGCTACAGTGCACAAGAGTGACCACCTGGCGTCGCCCTCGGTGTTAGGAAGCCCTCACAGTTCTCTCAGTCACTGGGGACAGTGATTTTGAAAATATGTAGATTAAATTACATGTACCAAATCTCAAAGTTTTTGGCGCTTGAAAAACAGATGCAAGCATGTCAGCAAAGTTGTGGAGGAGGACTGGCAGTGGATAATAATTCTTGGTCTGTATGAATATTTTTAGAACTACATAAGTGAATCCATTTTGACAGATTAGTGCAAGTGATAGATCCTATTTTAAAGACTTTCCTATTACAAGAAATGAAGTAAAACTTTATTTTACTTTTACAGTTTTGTTAACTTAAATCTCTTGAGGATTAAACATGTTTATCTCTCATTTAAAACGTTATGCATATGTGTGGTAACTTTAAAGAAATCTTTTCTTACTTTAATGGAATGCGATATTTTTCTCCTTCCCCGTCCCCACCACTCAGGATCTGAAGAAGCTGAAGGAAAGCAGGACGGTGAAAAACCACTTCTAGAACTATGAGTACTACTTTTGTTAAAGTAAGTCTTTGAAAATGAAACTGTAACAACAAAGTAGCTAAACATGGAGCGTTTTCGTTGAGTAGATTCCAAGTAAAATTCAAAGAATGTGAGTGTGAGCGAATAGCCAGATTTGTCCTACTTACGTAAATTTATCAGTCGCATTTTATTCAGGTAGCATTTCTTTTTTTTTTTTTTAAAGATTTTATTTATTCATTTTTTCCCCCCAAAGCCCCAGTAGATAGTTGTATGTCGTAGGTTCACATCCTTCTAGTTGCTGTACGTGGGACTCGGCCTCGGGTTGGACGGAGAGGTGGTGCCTTGGGGCGTGCCCGGGATCCGAACCCGGGCTGCCAGCATCAGAGCGCACGCACCTAACCGCTAAGCCACGGAGCTGGCCCTCAGGTAGCATTTCTTAACATTTTCTGCTTAGATATAAATTACTGAAGTAGGAAACATACCTGAGAGTCTCAAATTTCTAAATGAGCATGAGTTCGTAGTCGCTGACTTAGCCAGAATGTCTCCGTGTCACACGTTGTTTATTTATAAACCCTAACTTAACGGGTGCTGTGCGGGCCGCAGTCCTGTGAGATGTGGTCCTGTTATTGTCTCCATTCACACCTGAGGCCAGTGAGACTAGAGAGAGTGAGTAACTTGTCCCAGGTCACACAGGGAGCAAGTGGCAGAGCCAGGACTCAGGCCCGTCCAGTCTGGTTCCAGGGTCCGCTCCAGCCCTGCACTGGAATGTCTCTCTGGTGTTCTGGAGCTTCCGAGATGAAGGATGTGATCCAGTCAGAGCAGCAGCTCTTGATGAGCCTCACGGTGGGCACATTGTTAAAGCCCTTCAGATCAGCAAAGGAAATATTTCATCCTCAGAAATACAAGCAAATGAACAGGAAGTAAATTATAGTAGAAGCAACTCTGCCTGATTATTTAGTCACAGAAAGGAAAAGTAGTGGATGGATCCAGAGTCCTTGAAAAGCAGAGGCGGCCAGAGTCGTGGTGACTGGAGGCCCCGTGTCTGCATCAGAAGCACCCAACACGCTTCAGCCTTTACAACGGTAATTGGAGATAAAGCAAAAATATGGGCATCTGAATAGCAGATCCTTTTCTAAATGCCTTAAATAAATTCTTGTGTGGCCACAGCCATGATCTTGTAAGTGTCTGTAACACAGCTCATCTTCAGTACACAGACGTTGTTATAAAGACATAAGGCAAATGGAGCATTTTGCCTTTACACCACATCTCAAATTTGTCTTCTCTCTTTTCTAGTGTGAAAAACCCTCATTGCAAGTCACCAGAGGAAAAAAAGGCTAGAGATGGGGTCTCCCTGTTGAAGGTTGAAATGGTGACATCCACTGCTGACTTCATTGAATGGCTAATAAAGAATTTATTTACTGTAATACCTCACAGACACTGTACCACATCGATATACGTTTAGCAGCCTGCCTGTGGCTGCTAAGATAACGAAATGATCCGTCGTGTGTTCAGTGAGACCGAGTCTGATCTGTTAATGAATAGTTGCAGAAAAGTCTTGTGCTGTATTCCTAATCAGAAGACTTATTAATATATTGGAATAACACTGTTTTAGTAAGCAGAGTATCTTTTTATTATGATTTGCAGAATGGAATTTTTTTGTTTCTTGTCTCAGATTTCTTTTGTATTTCTTTTTTAACACCCTATATTTCCCTTGTGTTTTTTAACTCATGCACATGCGCTCTTTGTACAATTTTAAAAAGTAATAAAATCCAACATATCAAAATGATTAGTTTTATTTTCTTTTGTGTTATGTATTTGGCCGAAAGTGTTGGAATTACAAAAGGGGGACAAGGAGGGGTTGTGAAAACATATAAAAGATCACCAGAAGTTTTCTATTACTTTTATCATGAAATAGTATCTTCCTCCTAGAAGTATGGTTCTGAAATAGTCTGAGTACTCCTACTTTGAACCCACGCTGTGAAATCATTGCCATCATTATCCCTTTGTGTTTAGCTAATTTGAATTAAAATGAACTAAATTATATGATGAGCTGTTCTTTTCAAACATGAATATTCACCTCAATGCTTCATAGGAAGGCAGCATATCTATTGGTTTTCTTTCATTATTCATTGAGTCATTCAAGAAAAACTCAGTTGTGTGTAGTGGGAATGGTGCTGGTGTGGGTGGAAACTGGCTATTTGTGCAGATCTGATCGGCTCTATCTGTGCTGCTTCTAAGAATGGGCCAAATGACAGAAATGGAACTAGGAGCCTCACTGGGAGGCTGGGTCCTGACCAGGAAGAGCTTCCCATGGAGGAGAAGGGTGAGGAACAGCTCCAGGGTCTGCCTTGGGACTGAAATCTCAGGAACTCAATGGTGTTATCACAGTGAGAACGTCCTGTCTCAGGAGTGGAGTCGCAGATACACCAAGCCCACAGATGATGCCTAAGCCGGACGTCAGTGTATTAATTTAACCTGAGAAAGAGCTCTCATCCAGACATGCTGGGCTCAACCAGTAGATACAGCTGATCCTCATAGGAAACCGAGGCTCACCCAGAATTGGGCTCTCAGAGCACAGACCAAGAAGAATGAAGTATATGATTGAATGTTCCATGAGGTCCGACTATGAAAGCCTAAAGCTTTGATCTCAACAACAGAGCTCTGCTTCCCCCTGGGACTGGACAGATTGAGTCCCTGGGCCTGGGCACCCACTCTGTACCATGCTTGGGTGGGTGGGGGTGGGGACATTTGCTCTTTAAGCTCACACTCTGAACAGCCCTCTTCTAATTGAGCCCAATCACACTTTTGTCTGATGTTAACGACCTCTATTAAGCCTTGCTCAGGTTGACTCTGACTCATCTTAGAGGGACTTATATGATTCAGTATATGACATTCAATTACACAGCTGAACTCAGGGCCTCTGTATCTCTGTGTTCTTGGGAGGGAAAAAGCACCTCACTGTTGCCCCCATCTACAGTCCATCCACGCTACCAGGTTCATGGGCACAGACCTGTGTCACCCCATCTACACTGAGAAAATGAAACCCAAAGGTACCAGCCTCAGTAAATCAAACACCATGGAGGAGCACAGGTACTTGGTGGACTGTTGGGATTATGTTAGTGTTCGAATATGTCCTATTGGCTCTTTCCTTCAGAACAGGGTCAGGAGAGTGGACTGAGATGCAGCATCTGAACAGTCCTGGGCCTGAGATTCCCAACTCATGCAGTAGCTAAGTGGAGTAACTTTGTATATAGAAAGCAGGGAACCCCCTACCCACAGCCGAAGGGTATGTTTGACAGCGATTGCGTGTGTGTGTAGATGGGTATTTGCCTCCCATTAGCTGTGGCTTTTTGAAAGTGAGCAAAGTTGGTTGTGGTTTAACTGTCGTTAATTTATCTTATGACACCCTAGCCACTGCTTGAACAACCGCAACCAGCAGGGGTTGGTTTGACTTGGAGCATTTTCCACAAACCCACCACATTTGACAGAGCATGTAAACAAAAGAAGCCTGAGAAAATAACACACTGTCAGCCATACCAGCCCCCTCCCACCACCCAGGCTGTTTCCTCCACCACCACCTGTGCTCTCCCTCCCTGTACTGCCTAGTTCAGGGCAGCCCAGGCCCAGGGCGGAAGGAAGTTGCTGAGAAGTTTGAAGCCACAGGAGACACTGCCTAGTACTGCTCTGCCCAAGACTCTCCGTCCATTTCATTAGCGGGCCCCCAAAACACAGTTGCAAATCTAGGACACACACTCATAGAATAAATTAGGATTTCTATACTGTTGATAACAAAGGGAGCAATTATGGTAATAACAGAGTATATATATGAGGAGATGCGCCCACAAGTCCGTAAGAAAATTCTCACTGACTCCTTGGAGGATGCCTTTAGTAAGGAAGCAGTGCATGTTTTGTTTTGTTTGTCTTTCCCAGTTGAAACTGGGTGAAGGGAAGGCCACATGATGTTGGGTAACAAAATACTGGCCCTGAGTTCAGAGGGACCTGGCTTTAAATGACTATACTTACAAAACAGTGACCTCTCAAGCAAGAACTTAATCTTTCCAAATCTATACACTGTGGACTATAATTGTACCTATCTCGGGAGGCTATTAGAGGATTAATGGGGCTGCCTGGGACAAAGCAGAAACTCACTGAGTCCCTATTCCATCCACACACAACCTCTCTGGGGGGAAATAAGATTAGAGATGACTGTCAGTGTTCTTGTGTTGTGTAGTATCTACTATTCAAAAGTAGACCTGCCAACAGTGGATGCTACTGCTGTTGAGGACTTGCAGGTGCCAGGCATTATTTCCTCATCTAATAATCCACACACCTCCAGGAGATGGCACCGTAACTCCATTTTACAGATGAGGAAGTTATGGCACAGTGAGTTCAAATAACTTGCCTGAGGTCACACAGATGCTAATACTAGACCCTGGATTCAAACCCAGGTACTCAGGGTGCAGAGTCCAGTGGCTTAACCCCTCCACCATGATGCCTCTTGGTGTTAGTGCAGGTCTCATGAGGTTATTGTGAGGACCAGGAAACACGATGCTTGTGAAACAGTAGTGTAGAGCTGAGCACACACAGTGCAAGTCATGCTAGATGTTATGCTGACACCATTGGAATGTCCCAAACCAAAGGAATCTGAATCTGGTGACCTTTCAAAGAGAGGTAACCTGGGTGCCTTCATTTGACTGTGGCTCCACTTGGAGGCAATGCCCCCAAGAAAGCATCATAACCACTATCTCAGGGAAAGAATTAGAACTGTGGCATTGACCATTATTACAACCAGCGCTGGATTTGATAGCTCAGATATCATGCTGTTTCTTACCCTGGACTTTCAATGAGATTTAATCAAATTCAAGTACACACAGACAAATGTAGACTTTTGATTTTTTTTTTATTATGCCTATTATGATAAAAAAATGTACAGAATTCGAATATGAAATTCTGGCTTCAGGATTTGTAAAATGGAAGACTTCAAGGCTGTCATCTGGGTAAAGGGCACTAAGGGACGTCACTAGAAGCTGCATGCTGTCTGTACTCAGAAGGCATGATTATTGGGTTGCTGGATGAGCTGATGGAGATCATGGAGACAGTGGTGCTAAAGGACTATCCCTTGGACCTGCCCCTGAGTAATGGCAGAATTCATCATTACAGAGTAAAATTTTCTGTTTGCCCAGTGGTTTGAGAAACCATTACACAATAATGACATAATAGAAAAGTACACATGTGAACTGAGATAACCAAACCCAGAGTGAAAGCCCAGCTAGATCCTCAGGAGACACTTTTACGGAAAAGAAATGAAGAAAAGTTGACTTCTTTGTGCCACCATCTGTTAGAAACCTCTCCATTGCCAAAGACTGCTGTTCTCCTTAACAGACAGAAGGCGAGGATGGCAAAGTAGACCATGCTCTTGAGGAGGAGGAGGACGTAGGTGTAGTAGGCACAGGTGATGGTGAGCTGCAGCTGCAGGGCGTCTAAGAGAAGACCTTTGATTAGTTTCACCTGTTCTTTAGAAAGGATGGGACGTATTAATCGGAGGGTGGTCACAGTTATCCATTTCTGATGACCTACATTGCAGTGACACCCGGCACCACCAAAAGCCGAAAGTAAACATTTACCACCCTCCACCACCACGGACAACAACAAGACAACTCAGAATCCAGGTTACAGGTCGTGTCAATCAACAACCTCTGCTAAATTCACTTAGAACATTCCAAAATATGAAAAGTAAGGTTATGTTTTTAATCAATGAAAAAAGTATTTCTGATAAATAGCTTTTAGCATTTGTTCACCCCCACAATGTCTCTAAGTAATAAGAGCTAATATTCATTAACAACTAACCAAATGCTAAACACTTGTTCTGAGAGCTTTGCACGCAAAGTTTTAATCTTATTTAAATTTTGCAATAACCAATGAGAGTATTACTTTCATTCCCATTTTACAAATCAACTGAGGACAGAGAGAGAAGTATGTGCCTAGTGCCATGCATTTAGTAAGTACCAGAAACCAGATTTCAATCCCAACACCATGACTTTGAAGAACACATTCTTAGCTATTCTATAATTCTGCCTCTCCAAGTGCAATAAATACACCAGACATCAAATAGTTAAGCATAAATATAAAGTTGAATTCTGATTCAGAAGTATCTGAGCCATTACACATTGTGCATGAAATGAGATTACTATGAAGGATATAATCCATGGAAATTTGGTGGTGTTCACAGGGGGGTGGGTGGGAGGTTTGAGTAAAGAGGGCAGGCATTATATAAAATGGAAGAGAGTGGTTATTCCAAACGCTCTGCAACTTCAGGAGATCATGGCTCACTCACCAGTCCTTCATAAATGTCCCTCACTGTGACTATGATGTTAAAGGATAATTGCACTTAATATCCTTTGAAGTTTGGCAAGAAATATATGATGTCAAGAAATAATTACTGATAATGATGGTGAGCTAGACTGCCTATTCAATGAACTACAAGAGTGAGTCTTTTCCTGTGGAAATTAACATTTTACATGTTTTATCTTCAAGAGTCAGAACTCCAGAATCATTATCACCTGTTGTGGAAAGGGATCTCAGAGGTGATGTGCTCATAACTCCTTGCCCTTGGTCACGTAAGTTTCTAGCTGAGGTCCAGAGCCCCATTGGTTGGAAAAGGAGGAAAGATGACCAGGGCTAGAGCCAATGCTTCTAGTCACTTTCTGTGTACATATGTAGGGAGAAAGGGCCAGAAGCTGGTGCTGATTCTGTGCCAGCTAAATGAGGTACCCGATGCTAGCCATTCCACATAGGTGACGTTACCTCTTCAATAACTGAGTTAGGTGTAAGTATTCTGGGTTAGCAGATGAAGGAAGTATTGCTCAGAAAATGTAAGTAATTTTCCTATATTGATGTAACTAATCATTAAAAGAACTGGGATTCAAGTCCAGTCTGTGATTGTGAAGCCCATGCACTTACCCACCCCCCAACCGTGTGTTCATCGTGTCTCAGGGCCTTGGCTTTGGGGTTTCGGGCTCTAGGACTACATCTTAGAGGAAA